ACACATTTTCAGTGTTTTTGATAGTATTGTTCTATAATTTTGAGATATTTAATCATTTTTATGGAAAGTTATTTTTGACTAGAAATCACTGTTTTCCAAGATAAAGTTTTTGAAGATAAAAATGATTTTACCATTGACATTCAATGGCAATTAATTGACCACCCTCTATTTTACAAGATGTTTTTGTGTAGTTTTAATGATAAAAGTTCAATAACTTACCACTTACGTCCCAGAAGGGTATAGTATGAACAATAATTAAAAATTATGTTTGCTGATCACTAGTTTCAGCAGAGTACATCTGCCAAATTGAGACATACAGTTTTTCTAGAAGCTTTCTGTCCTTTCACTGTTGGGTCTATTTGACTTGCATTGCATTTGCTATTTTATAGATTGGTGAAAGGAAACATTATGTATCCTTTGCTCAAGAATGATCTTACTATGGGTAAAATTATAAAACTTTTATGCAAGCTATATCTCTGACTCAGTCTGAAGGTAAAGAGTCAGATCCAGAATGCAGATCTGAGTCTGAGAACTCTCTTGATGAATTTGAACTTCATGCAAGGGTGAATAACGGTGATTTGTCATACCTCTGAGGACAGTCTCATCACGGTGAGACAGACCTCAGAGGTATTGATGAGACTGTCCTCAGAGGTATTACCAGATTACACTGATGTATGGTTATACACCATATTGTATGATTTTGTTCTTCTGAAAATTTTCCCTGCTATTTGTTCTTTCTACTTTCTATAATTTCTTAATCTTCTTAATTGGAAGTGAGGGCCACTTCCTAGAATTCACCAACATATTGTAGGCAAGGTTACCTGAGGGCATACAAAGTGAAGGAAGATCACTTTTGGGCTGGTACTCAAGGAGAAAAGACCAGGAAAAGAAGAGGGATTTTCCAGTGTTCGGTGCCTGAGAGACAGGTGAGGTTAGAAACTTGAGCAGGAACTTCAAAATTCCTAGGTCAAGGGTAGTGTGTTGGAGCCAGTGTATCAGCTTGACTGACTATTGGAATCAAATATACAAAAACTCCAAAGAACCAAAGAAAAGAAAGACAGAAACAAGAATTTTGTGTTCATGTAGCTCCCATGTGGCCCTTACAGTAACTGAACATTTGTACTACCTGGGTATTCTTTCCTATCCTATCTGCCATCTTTGCTACTTCCTGCCCATACTTTCTATTTCCTTCTAGGTAATTAATCTTAAGAATTAGTGATAAGGAAAATTTTTTGTAATTATTATCATTGATTTTCTTTTGTACAGATTGTGATAATTTTTGTAAACTGTTCTATTAATGACTGGATTTTGGGTGGCCATTAGTCAACAATCCCTAGAGCTGGAATCCCTTTGTCCCTGTACTTTATTATCATGCAAAATAAATTCTTTCTTCTATCTTCTACTTTGCACATGTTTTTTTCTGGGTATTTTCCCTCATTGGTCAACAGATCCTTTCATAATTATCACAGATGTTAAGTCAGATATGTAAAATTCAACAAGTGTGCAAATAAATATAAAAGTTATAACTGGGAAGTGCTTATTTCTGCTTGGGTCTTCCTGACAAATGAATTTCTCCCCTCATATACAGGTGGTGTGTTTGCTCAAAGGAATAAAAATGATCCTCTTACATAAATAGCACATGATACCACTCAAGGAAGAGGAAGCAAATGATAATGAAAGTATTGTAGATAAGACAACTCTGAGAAATACATTTCCTATTTATACTAGTTTACTTAGGTCTCGTTGTATCTCATTTTGCTCCAACATTACAGGTACTCTAGAAAATTGTTTTCAAAAAAAGATCAGTTATCAATGCTCAGGAATTTGGTATTGATGTGACACCATGGGTATGCATCACGCCTGTAACTAGACTAGCAAACAGCTTGCAATTAGAAGTCAGCAAAATGTTCTTGAAGAGAATAGTGATCCTAAAGATATGCAAAACTGTTATTTGAAAGAAGCGTCCTCAACAAGTGCACTTTGCCTATTCATTAGTGACCCTATTTTGCATGTGATAAAGAAATGCACTGAAATGGAAATTTTCATTGTGCACAATGATAATCTATGAAATTTGAGCTTAGAAGAGTTACAAGCCTTCATTGCAGGGCTGTGGAGTAGCGTAAAAATCCAACTCCGACTCTTCCTTACCATCCGACTCCGACTCCGGCTAAAACACCAAAACTCCTCGACTCCAACTCCACAGCCCTGCTGCATTGCTGTACTTTACACTCAAACAGCATATGATGCAAAGTGTTTCTCCTTGAGAGATTTGTGGAAACTTAAGTGAGGCCCTCTCCTTTTCATTCAAATAATGGCAAAAAATAGAGTTTTAGAAATCATGAAATTCCATTGATATGACATTAGGGTGATCTGTCAGCAAAGAAAGCAAACTGATAAATTTGGTTTAGAGGTAAAGGTGTCAAATATGTCCAAGTTTCTTCATCATACATTCAGTAAAATATGGGTTTTGAATAAATCATAACCTTCTTACTGCATAATTTATTGACTGACAGTTCATCTGCCATGAACAAGTTGTATTCACAAGAGTGATATTGAAGTTTCCTAACAGCTACTACACATATGGAGCTAGTGCACATATGGTCATTAATTTGCTTCTACAATTTTAAAGGTCATGTGCTTCTAACAACACATATAACTGTCAATCTCTGGATAAAAAAATATAAGGATAATTCACTTGGTAATAAGTGTTTTGATAAAAGGAAAATATGCAGGAAATTTTATAACCTCATATAAGTCAAAATATTCTTCCATAGTAATTAATGGAAACTTCATAAATGTTCCAAGAGTATGCAGAAGTGCAACAGCAGTAGCAGTAATCCATTGGTAATAATTAAAGACTTCATTTAAAGGCTAAATTAGTAATATACCACTAGGTAGGTGTTTGTTTATCTTTGTTAGGATTCCCAACAACTATGATCTTGACAAGAAGTAAGAAATAAGTGATCACACTCTAATAGCTTGTCTCAGATTTATAACTCCTGCTAGAAATTCAGCTGTGGTATTCTCCACATATCAGAGAGCAGAGATTATTACAAAAGTATAGCTAAAAGTCTGGAGTTTTTGTCCTAGTATTACTGATGATGAATCAACACATCAATATATTTCCAGTTGTCCCTGACAGCTTGAAGTGTTTGGTCCATTATAATGGTCATTTGAGCTTCAAAAATATGTATTATATTTTTGAAGCTCAAATATATTATATTATATGTTATGCAGATTCTGTGCTAGATTGTCTATTTTACTATTCTTCTGATATATCTGTTCCAAACAATTTTAATATTTTCCCTTCAAAATCTATTAGGCCTCATTTCTTTTGAGAATAACAACTAAAAAACCAATAATAATTATATCTACAGTGACCATACGTTCTTTATTTAAGAGGACAGTCCTTTATTTCACTGCTCTGTCCTTTAACTTTATTTATTTTCTAAAATAAGCATTTTGTCCTTTATTTTGTAAAGTTGATGCAAAGTTTAAAAAAAAAAATTTTTTTAATAATATATTGAACAAGTTAGTTTTGTATACGCCATAATGACCAGTGTTGCATTGCTACAGAGCGCAGTAGTGCAGTGTGTCGCCAACCAAACGGCTCACTGACAGTACCAGGGGTTTCTTTCTATTGTTATTAGAAAAGTGGTTTTAGCATTAGAAAAATCAGAAAATACAACAAGCCAAAAAAATGCAATGATGCTGTGTACACATTTTATCAAACGTGCATAGATTATCTAAATAATTGGGACATGTTTTTTTATTGAAATAGAGGTGTTTGAATGGATCACATTATGCGAAATCCCTTTGTGGGCGAAAGTAGAGAAAAGCTATATCTTTATTTCGAATCATTGGTCCGTAAATATACTCGACGGTGAATTATTTGATGAAGTTTCATGTGTAAAAAAATATGTCACAAACGAAAAGATCGACGAATGGTGACAGAATAACCAGCCCTGCCATCAAAGGTGGATTGAGATTTTTGAACATTTTACAGCAAAAAAATTGTTTTCAAAAACATTTGTAAAATCGTAGAATTTTCTTTGTCTCCCTGGATCTAATGCCCCCGTTGAACGAATATTTTCATTGGTGAATAATAGGTGGACAAATGAAAAAACTGATTTAAAAGTAAGCAAATTAGAAAGCATGTATTTCCATCAAATACAACTTTCAAATGAACTGTATGGAATTTTATGACTTTAAAGCGTGAAACGGCGCTATAAAAAAATTAATTCTACTGAAAAGTATCAAAATTAATGTTATTTAAATTTTTTACAATGTGTGTATGTGTAATAATTCAGATTGTTTAAAATTTTAATGTACGCATTGTTGTATGCTACTATTTTCGTAATAAATGTTATAAACTTATGAGATATTTTTTGATTTTCTTCGATATGTCCTTTATTTTCCCCAAAAAAATACGGTCACTGTAATTATATCATAATATTTAGGGGATTTGTTTTCTTGTATTTTTGTTAACATGAAACAATTAACACAATAATCATTAAAAAGAAAAACATGCTTTTAAAAATTAGAGTAAAATAACCTTTTTTTTTTTAAATTTAAAAAAGTCTGACACTGAGATGAAAAAAAAAAGCTTCAATGTTTTATTTTTCATTTATTTTGGAGTAGACACAAGTTTTTACTTATATTTAAAACTTGGGATTATCATTTATTAATGTAAGCCTTAACTGATTGATAACTTTCTACACAGCCATTTTACAAAACATCAAAATGTTAAACAATGTATGCCACTTATTGATGAAAATAATAATTTTATCATTATATATACTTCTTACATTGACCATAAACTAAGCCAATCAACTCCATAGAATAATTGTTTCTAAGTAAAAGTTAGAAACAGTGAGACTCATCTTTCATCATTTAGTAAAAACATTTTGATGAATGGTCAATAGATCAGAAAATATTAATTAAAGAATTATTTTATAATATAAAGTATTACTTTATTATGAAAGTATTAAATTACTCACCACTTCCCGATCATGTCCTTTTAATACATGATAACATAGTCCACTTTCTGAATTCCATATTCTAGCAGTTTTATCAAAGGAACCAGTTGCAATAATGTTACTATAATATTTTAAATATCATGTACAGAGTATATTAAAAAATTATATTATAAATTTAATTCTTTTAATATAAATTTTGATATCATAGTTTAGAAAAAAATTTTATTTCTAACTGATGAGAAATTATTATATTTATATTGATAAATGACAATATTTGAAATATTTATTTTAACAACAACAGAACTTCACTAAAATTAAAATGGATATCAATTATTTGATCAGATTTTTATTAATAAAATTCAAATAAATAAGATGAGAAAAAATATTTAATGCAGAATGATAAAAATTTTAAGCTTACACATAACTGTGATAATAACAAATACAACTCATTGACAAAAAAGTTATGCACTCAAATTGCCTAATTTGTGAAAACTCTGCATACAACTATATCACTGACAGTTATGTAAATACAGTTGTGATATGACTGCTTGCCAGGTAATGCCACAAGTGCCTAAAAATTACTACTCCAGTATTCTATAAAAAAGCTCATAGAGGCTTACTGTGTTCAGAATTTTCACTCTATTGTATTTTTGTGGAATGACCAGCATGCTGCACATAACCGGGGAGACAAGTACATTTGTCTCCCCTGATATTGTTTAGTTGAAGTTTAACATCATGTCTGTTAAACTGAAACTAAAAAGTAAAATTAATCAGATCTTTCAAAACTAGTTGTTAAAAAAAATGTTAAAGAAAACATTCTATCAATTACAACAAAATAATAATACAGTGGGTGATCGGTTAACAAACAGATCGGATAACGAACAAATCGGATAACAAACACTTTTGCGAAAGATTTTTATGTTCGGACAATGAACACATGATCGGATAACGAACACTCCACAGAACAAACACAAAAAGAAGCGACGTAAAATAATGAATATCAATTGGTTTTCCCTTGTCTTCGGGCAACAGTCCGAAACTTTTCGGAGTGCGGGAGACGTCGACATCGATGCTCAAGTCGGTATATACCGATCGGATAGTATTCCTTCGAGCTTTGAAACTCTCCCTTGTAATTCCAGCCTTTTATTTTTCTGACAAAACAATTCTTATATGTATTCGTGAGACTGTCGGGTAGGCACTCGTTAAGTTTTGTGTCTGTTTTTCTTTTCGAAAGGTGAGAGTATAATAGCACAGATAGAGAGTAGGCAGAAGATGCCTAATGTTGCTGGGCAATATGGTGTGAACAGGTCTACAGTAGGCCACAGTTCAATCTTATTTAAGAAAAATATTGTATAATCAAGAAGACTCAAACAGCTAAAGGAGTAACAAAAATCACGTCTGAGAAATAAAAAACATCGAAAAGTTCAAAATGGAACCTGAAACGGATCTGACGACAGAAGAACGCCAAGAACTCTTGAATGAAGAACACCAAGAAACTTGGCAAGATATGTTTTCTTTTGAAAACGAGGATTAATGCCGATATCTGTTATTAAAGATCCTTTGAAGAAGTTGTCAGAACAACGGTCTTAGAATGGCATCCAAACCAGGTTGAGGCTTGGGGATTTCCACAATTGCAATCCTATTAATTACTTACGAAAAATCCTGAAGAAGAGAGAAAAACAATCGACATTAGACAGATTCTTTAACCCTTTCAAACGGGAAAAACATGACTAATAAGAACGCAAGACTGTGTACATATGTATTTTTATTATTACATATAAATAAACGTAGTAAAAAAGTATATATTTTTTATTTTTGGGGTTCTCCAGAACGAATTAATTAAATTCCCATTAAAACCTATGGTAAATAGATAATCGGTTAACGAACAATTCGGATAGCAAACAAAGTCTTGGAACGGATTATGTTCGTTAACCGATCACCCACTATACTGTATTATAATTTGACTGACTTAAAATCAGAAAAAAGTTTTCATTTACAGGACAATAAAACAATGGCTTATTGACAATAGTAGTAGTTAGTCAGTATGAGCTGCACTGACCATCTCCCCTGACCTTAAAAATAACACCTTCCTCTCAAATTTCACACAAATAGAATGTTAATGATATAAGTTGAGAAAATTTACAGTGAGTTTCTGATATGTTTATTTTTGTGTTTTTGAATCAAATTACAATAAAATAAAAAAAAAAAAAAAAACAAACTTTCAGCACATCATGAGTATTTTACTTCATTAGAAAGAAGACAAAATGCAGAAATTATACATATAATCATAGTTTTTGATGTAATGATGAAAGTTTCAGTTTTAGACTAAAAACTGGTTTGTTTTTATGTGCCATAACTTAGTTTTTAATGCGACCTCTAGATAATGTTATCACCCATCCAGTTTTCACCAAGACAGTCCGGGAATTAACTCACTGTTTGGGTGAACTATTAATTTTGTCCAGGAATTTTATAGAAATTGTGAAATTACGATGAAACAAAGTTCTTGCAAATATTTTTACAAATTTACACTATTTTAACAGTGAAAGAACTCACACTCACTGAAACTCATCTGTAATGAAACAATTAACACAATAATCATTTAAAAAGAAAAACATGCTTTTAAAAATTAGAGTAAAATAACCTTTTTTTTTTTAAATTTAAAAAAGTCTGACACTGAGATGAAAAAAAAAAGCTTCAATGTTTTATTTTTCATTTATTTTGGAGTAGACACAAGTTTTTACTTATATTTAAAACTTGGGATTATCATTTATTAATGTAAGCCTTAACTGATTGATAACTTTCTACACAGCCATTTTACAAAACATCAAAATGTTAAACAATGTATGCCACTTATTGATGAAAATAATAATTTTATCATTATATATACTTCTTACATTGACCATAAACTAAGCCAATCAACTCCATAGAATAATTGTTTCTAAGTAAAAGTTAGAAACAGTGAGACTCATCTTTCATCATTTAGTAGTCTCGTTGTATCTCATTTTGCTCCAACATTACAGGTACTCTAGAAAATTGTTTTCAAAAAAAGATCAGTTATCAATGCTCAGGAATTTGGTATTGATGTGACACCATGGGTATGCATCACGCCTGTAACTAGACTAGCAAACAGCTTGCAATTAGAAGTCAGCAAAATGTTCTTGAAGAGAATAGTGATCCTAAAGATATGCAAAACTGTTATTTGAAAGAAGCGTCCTCAACAAGTGCACTTTGCCTATTCATTAGTGACCCTATTTTGCATGTGATAAAGAAATGCACTGAAATGGAAATTTTCATTGTGCACAATGATAATCTATGAAATTTGAGCTTAGAAGAGTTACAAGCCTTCATTGCAGGGCTGTGGAGTAGCGTAAAAATCCAACTCCGACTCTTCCTTACCATCCGACTCCGACTCCGGCTAAAACACCAAAACTCCTCGACTCCAACTCCACAGCCCTGCTGCATTGCTGTACTTTACACTCAAACAGCATATGATGCAAAGTGTTTCTCCTTGAGAGATTTGTGGAAACTTAAGTGAGGCCCTCTCCTTTTCATTCAAATAATGGCAAAAAATAGAGTTTTAGAAATCATGAAATTCCATTGATATGACATTAGGGTGATCTGTCAGCAAAGAAAGCAAACTGATAAATTTGGTTTAGAGGTAAAGGTGTCAAATATGTCCAAGTTTCTTCATCATACATTCAGTAAAATATGGGTTTTGAATAAATCATAACCTTCTTACTGCATAATTTATTGACTGACAGTTCATCTGCCATGAACAAGTTGTATTCACAAGAGTGATATTGAAGTTTCCTAACAGCTACTACACATATGGAGCTAGTGCACATATGGTCATTAATTTGCTTCTACAATTTTAAAGGTCATGTGCTTCTAACAACACATATAACTGTCAATCTCTGGATAAAAAAATATAAGGATAATTCACTTGGTAATAAGTGTTTTGATAAAAGGAAAATATGCAGGAAATTTTATAACCTCATATAAGTCAAAATATTCTTCCATAGTAATTAATGGAAACTTCATAAATGTTCCAAGAGTATGCAGAAGTGCAACAGCAGTAGCAGTAATCCATTGGTAATAATTAAAGACTTCATTTAAAGGCTAAATTAGTAATATACCACTAGGTAGGTGTTTGTTTATCTTTGTTAGGATTCCCAACAACTATGATCTTGACAAGAAGTAAGAAATAAGTGATCACACTCTAATAGCTTGTCTCAGATTTATAACTCCTGCTAGAAATTCAGCTGTGGTATTCTCCACATATCAGAGAGCAGAGATTATTACAAAAGTATAGCTAAAAGTCTGGAGTTTTTGTCCTAGTATTACTGATGATGAATCAACACATCAATATATTTCCAGTTGTCCCTGACAGCTTGAAGTGTTTGGTCCATTATAATGGTCATTTGAGCTTCAAAAATATGTATTATATTTTTGAAGCTCAAATATATTATATTATATGTTATGCAGATTCTGTGCTAGATTGTCTATTTTACTATTCTTCTGATATATCTGTTCCAAACAATTTTAATATTTTCCCTTCAAAATCTATTAGGCCTCATTTCTTTTGAGAATAACAACTAAAAAACCAATAATAATTATATCTACAGTGACCATACGTTCTTTATTTAAGAGGACAGTCCTTTATTTCACTGCTCTGTCCTTTAACTTTATTTATTTTCTAAAATAAGCATTTTGTCCTTTATTTTGTAAAGTTGATGCAAAGTTTAAAAAAAAAAATTTTTTTAATAATATATTGAACAAGTTAGTTTTGTATACGCCATCACGACCAGTGTTGCATTGCTACATAGAGCGCAGTAGTGCAGTGTGTCGCCAACCAAACGGCCCACTGACAG